CCCTGAGAAGTACTGGGCCAAAATCAGGGACCAGTAATTTTAAGCATCGCTTTTTATTTTCAGTCAAGTTGTTCACACTTTACAGGTGGACAGTGTAGAACTGCTTAAAATAGAAGTCTGACATGAGTATTTTTAAATTGTTTTTAGGTTCCTTATGGTGTCTTTGCAACTTGCAAGGTCTTGCAAAAAAAGGTAATGTTGTAATCAGATATTATTAAATAATTCTATTAATATGCTTAACTGTTACTGTCGTGTTTGAAATGACTGAGTGTGGTTGTTTTATGTGTGATACTACATAGAGAGCAGTTTGAGTCTCATCAGTCCTGTCTGTGTATTTTAAAGTTAACTTCTGCCAGGAAAGACAAGGTGGTCCTGTCTTAGCCCATCTAGGGGTATTTGTCATGTGAGAAAAAAATCTAGATCTCATGTAAAATGTTTCACCTTCTCTGACAATCCATTTCCTACTTTAATGCTTTATATGACAGTGAATAAGATACTGAGCTCTTATACAGCCTCCCCAGTTCAATCTCAACAAAAGTGCTTGTTCTGTGTTTATGTGCACTTGTGTTTATGTGTCAATGGGGTTTTTCCTCCCCAGGTGCTGATTATTCATACAAATAATCTGACATCTTTAGTTCCAAAGTCCTGCAGCCTCCTGAGTCTCATAACTCTAAAGGTAACTGTGATTCTTAACAGTTCAACTGCAGCCATGATCCTTGGATTTGAGCTGCATTAAAACACACCAGCCCAAGTAAATCCCTTCTTGACTGACTTTGCCAGGGGTCAGTACCAAGGTGTGACACCTGCCTGTTGTGGGTTCACCTCCCAGGCTGACTGACAGCAGACACTGAGTGGCTGGTGTAGCATCACCATCATTTATCATTTATCATTTATCATTTATCATTTATCCCCTTCAGAATCCCACAGTTTCCTCCTCAGAGCCTCGCTGGTGGGCAGGCAGAGCTGGGTGTGTTGTGGGGTAGATCCATTTCTGCCCTGCTCTGGAGGGTCACTGGAATGGGAAGCCAACTGGTGGTGGGTGTGACAGGGCTGTATCACCATCGTGCTGGGATTCCCCAAGAGGCAGAGTCATTTCAGCAGCTCCACATGGCAGGAGAGAGGTCTCCAGGTCTAGCCCTACCCTCTCCCTGCACTGCTGTTGGAGCAGTTCAGCTCATTGATCCTGCAGAAATTCCTTCTGCCAGCCTGGTTCTAAGAGATGATTTATCCAGTTGGCTCCTCCAGTTTTGTGGGACAGCTCCCTCAGTGTCACTGCTCTCCCTTGTCTCTTGTTTGTTACTGATACCTGAATTTCCAAAAGACCTCCAAGAATGAAGTACCTATGTCCCCTGGAAAACTTGAGCTGCTTTTCAAAGTCACATTGGAAGAAGAGTAATTTTCATTGTGAGATAATTCATGAACTTTTGTTCCCAACCTTATTTGGTGACATTCCAGGTTCTGGATCTGCATGACAACCAGCTGGCATCACTTCCTGCTGATATTGGTCAGCTGGCAGCTCTTCAGGTAAAAGATTTGCAGCTGCATCCCAGGTGTCTGTACAGGACATGTTTGGGGACAGCAGGGATTTGGGGTTACACTCTTTGGTTTACAGTTAATCACAGCTTCTGTGGTGATGCCATTTCATCAGATCCATAACATCACCCTGACTGTTGCTGTTGAACTGGCTGGTT